GCAGAGTCAGTATATAAATGGAGCTTATTATCTGACACCCAATCAAGATTGCTGTAAACAGATATTCCATTATAATGCTCTAAACAATTAAGCCACATCATTAAATCCTCTTTGTTTGAGGAAGAAACACGAATGAAATGATTTGGGCGTTTAGCCTGGGACATTGCTTTGTATAAACCACAATTAAATGTTCGACCTGAAGGAATCACTCTTGTAAAGAAACTTAAAAGACCAACAACAGACTGGCCCTTTTCTTATGAATAATTTCATTAATACAATCTTTAGCCTTCTCTATTTTTTCCGGCGGAATACGGACTTCCAATTTGTCTGTATCAAGAGGTAAGGACAGTAACTGGACCCTCGGACTTATCTGGATTTAGTGGAATGTTCATGTCATCACAGATATGTTTAAAATCCGACATCAACTTAGTATAGTCTTTAGTGCCAGATTTACCCCCAAAAATAAAATCATGTAGATAATGATCTATGTTAGAAGATTTTGTATAATTTGATACTGCCCACTGGATAAAGGAAGAAAAACGTTCAAATATTGCACAACTTATTGATGCACCTTGAGGCAGCATTTTTTGTATCCAGTATCTGTTTTTATATTTGATCCCCAACAGTGGGAAATCCTCTGGCCTAATTGGACACAGGTTAAAGGCAGAAGAAATATCTTGTTTACCAAGTTCAGTCCCTTTACCCAATATTTGAATTTTTTCAATAACATTGTCAAACTTGGAGTAATGAACTGAACAATACTTTGAATCAATAAAATCATTAACTCCATTTCCTATAGGATGAGACAGGTTAGTAATCAATCTCCAACCCCCTGATTTTTTGGGGACTAATCCCAGAGGATTGACTCTTAAATTAGAAAATGGTTTTTCATTAAATGGGCCTAAAATCCGACCCAGTTCAACTTCTTTAATTAATTTTTCCTCTAATACCTTTGGATTTAAAATGGCAGATTTTAAGTTTTTTGATTCATAACTAATCTGTTGGCCAGAGTACTGGAGTCCAAATCCTTTTCTAAAACCATTCAAAAGATATTTTTGTTCAGCAACCTCATAACCCTTTAACCATATCTTTAAACGTTTTATGTCAATTGGTGATGTGCCTAACTCCAACAAACGCTCGAGGAGCACTAAATCTTGGGCCTTGTGGTTTAACGACTCTAGGCCTGAAATTATTTAACGGATTTTGCATAGAAGTTGAGGTTCGAATCCCACATGAAATAGCTGAATGGGGACCTCTGCAATTTTTGCAGAGATGCTGATAAGGGCATCCAGACTTTGTACAAAAGCCTTTATTATTAAAGAATAAACATAAGTTATATTTATATAACTGGTTTTGAGGCTGTCTAACATGTGAAGTACCAGTCATTGTAAGCAACCAAAGTTCGCCATCAATAGAGGACCATTTCATATCGGCATGCATAGATTTTTTCTGTCGAAAAGCTTTATCATAATACAGCCAGCCAAATGAATTACGTTTTGCAGCTAGGCGGACCATGTGCATGTACTGTATTAACTCCGAGGCAAGAGAGGGACTTTTCATAATAACTATTTGAATATATATTAAAAATGCGTCAGTCCATGAACTTATGTTCTTCATTTCATGTATTTTTGGACTACTGTCTAATACAATATTGCCATTTAAAACTTTAATAGACTGAGCCTCTGGTAATGGTTCTTTTTGTAACAGTAATCCTAAATCAATATATTCACCTGACCAGACTTGCTCTTTAATTTTTTGTGAAATATGCATACACATATTGGTACAAACAGAATGTAAAGGAAAAAGGTTACCTAAACTATGATCAGCAGGTGTTGCCATAACTGAAGGCTGATCCAAAACATCAGGGCGTGGTTGAAGAACACCAGGACCAGGTGGAGGAAACTGGAAGTCTTGGTTTCTACTTGCTGTTGCATATGAAAGAACAGAGCCATGAGCTGTGGGAGGAGGTACTGCACACTGAAATTGCTGATTCCCATTAGAGTATAATGGAGCAGGTACACTACTTGCCAGCGGATCAGATGTATAATTAATTTGTGGAGCAGGAACGCCAGGTGGAGGAAACTGGAAGTCTTGGTTTCTACTTGCAGTTGCATGTGATGCAACAGAGCCATGAGCTGTGGGAGGAGGTACCGCACACTGAAAATGTTGATTCCCACTAGAGTATAATGGAGCAGGTACACTACTTGCCAGCGGATGAGGTGTATAATTAGTATGTGGAGCAGGAACATTAGGCCCAGAAAAAGGGGGGGGGGAAGCTGCAGCTGTCCTCCGCCTTTGACGACGTTGATCAACTTGTCCAGCAAGGGGAAGTTTCCTTTTCGGACGAGGCATATTGGCCGTATATGTAAAATAAAGTAAAACAGGAATTTAAAGTGGAACAGCAAATTTAATAAATGTAACAACATCTTATTTATTGCAATAATTCTTAATTTCATTCATATTATTCAAATTTATTCATTTATAAGAAAATTATTTTATCAATTCTTTTAATTAATGTTGAAATTTTAAGAACGGTTTTGAACTAAATCTATGAATATTATAAGAATGTGGCTTGCACTGCTAAGATACCACGTGGTCTGTGGATCAACTAAATTAATTCTAAGGAATTCTAAAAAAAATCCTTTAGTTACTAGCATTTACTTTCATTTGAATAAATTTGTTGATAAAATTTTAAAAATATGTTATTATAATACAATGCACTTAAACAGTGAAATATGACCGCCACGCCCATTGCCACTTCTACCCCACGTGCTTCGAAGTGAAAATGAGAATAGATAGCAATTTAGCAATAAAACAAGAACATTTTCTGAAAATAATTCGGGCTACGTAACGTGTGAGATATTTTAAAGTAATTAATACCCGAATAAGACAATAAAAGAAACTTGAAATTAACTTCAAACAATGACGTCATATTATAAAGACCGATAATGAATGTCAAATTTTACCTTTAAGGTTAGATGAGTTATTTCCCCTCCCAGATAACAAATATATCTAAAGACAAGACTTGATATATTTTACATTATATAAATTTAGGAGTACTGTTACAACAAACATCTAAATGTGTACTTGAAGGAATTTGTTTTAACTGTACTTCTAAATTATCATTATTTCCGTTTTATACATTCTTAAATACTGATGTATCAGCTAGGAAATCAGAAGAGCTTTATATCAATGATGGATGTGTTGAAACCAAAACTAAACAAAAAATGATGATGTCGACAATTTTTACGTTGCATACACTTGTGTACACAAATAACGTGAATTGGCGTTGTTACTATTGAATTATGTTTATTTGCCCTCATGATACAGAAACCGATCGACATTATATCAAAATGAGAAAAATCAGTTCATGTCAGTTATTATTACATTTTTTTTTTGTTCCGGCACTTAATCACGTGTTGGTCCTCTTAATCTAAATATACTTGAGAAAACGCATGTTAGAGGTTTGAATAATATTGACGATATTGTTTTGATACCGATCATACATTTAGATATACATCAAGAAAGATATTAAAGAAGGCCTACTATTTTCTCTTACATTCTGTGTGTATAAATGAACTCAAGAGTTATTTTACTATTGTCGCGTGGAGACGCATAAAGCATTCAATGCAGTTATAAGTTTTTTTCCTTTTAACCGGTCCAATTTGTGTCACAGAAAACTTTTTATCTATTGAACAATTGATGACATTTGTGAGATCAATACTAGAATTAACGGGACATGTGTAAATACTATTTGGGATCTCCCTGCTCAATTATTTTCAGAATTAAAAATCGTTGGCTACGATCATCCTTTGAATAAGGTGTTTTTAATCAGACAAAAGACACAGTTTACCTCTGCTCAATCACATTGCAAGAATAGTTACTTATAGGATTGTGAACGATGAATAAGTCAATAAATGCAATATAGTACTTGAAGACACCAGTGTAAGACACTGTTCATACATGAACCAAGTCTTCTGTAAAACCGGTTAAATGTACTTGTATATCCAGTCCCGCTCTGAAAAATTTACGGTGCGGGTAATTCTGTTTCAACGCTGTTTTGTTATATTAAGTCTTATAAACTTATTATGCAATTAAAAGAACCATAGCGCTTTATTTGTGATATTGGTATATAACCTAAAGGTACTAGCACTCAAAGTGTTTACCAAAAGAATATATATTAAGTAAAAATGCCCAATAAACATCTCATATAAATAAGGGAACATAATAGTCTTGTCTTTGATATTATACAGAATGTGCTTGTTTGCAAACGTAACAGGACAAAAATAGTAATATGAATGAAATATTGGATTATGAAGTAAAACAAAATATACTGGATCAGATAAAACGAATATTGATCTGATGCGGTAGAACTGCTTGCATATGGTAAGATTGACTTTAAAGTTATCAACAAGCCATTAACTGACTGGCTTTAATTGAGATTTAACCGATTCTGTTTAACAATATCAAGGTACGGTTTAATCGTTTCACTTAATATATTTATCCCAACACCGTTGTTTTGCATGAAAATGTGTATATGAACTTTTGTCAAATAATTTTCTTGAAATTTATTTGAATGTGAAAATGTTCAATAAAAATATTCATCATCATCATCATACAACAATACACCGATGATTTGAGTTAAAACTGCATATATAATGCAAGCGGAATATTGTCTCAGTACTTATCACTATAACGGTACTACTCGGGTGCACGTTCGTGCCTGAAATAATGCACGGAAGGGTACCTGAGGTCCTCCTCCACCAGTAAAGCTGGAACGCCGCCATATGACCTATACTGTGTCGGTGTGACGTAAACCCAACAACAACAAAAACAAAACTATAACGGTATCGGATAAATTTCACTACAGTAACTGTTGTATTCCATTCTCATACAAAATTAACATCATTTGTATATGGAAACAGCGGTAAATCCATCCAAACTCAATGTTGATATGGAATCATACATAAACAGTTTTATGAAAATGAAATTAAAGATTAACTTCTCTGTCCCAATATGATGAACACGACATCAAAACATTTTAATGTTTATTTTTATTAAATACTTAAAACACAATTATGGTCATATCAAAAACAATAATTAGTATTTTCTAGATCACAGAATGAAAAGGAACGTGCAAATGTTTGATTTAAACGAGTCTGTTTGTATGGATATGACCACAATATAGTAGCCGATAATTTAAAGACACTTGCAAACACAAAAGCTTTAAACTTGTAAAAATACTAAATATATTAAAAAAATGCTTACACAGACTATATACAGCAAACAAAACATTACCAATAGGCAAAATCCTTATAATATGCGTCGCGAAAGAAGCAATTTTAAATCAGAATATGCGTGACGATGAAGCAATTGACAAAATATTACATGTATTTAACTTCAAATTGTCTTTTCAAAAATAAAGAAAATTAAAAAATTCTAGTAAATAAAAATCTATGATAGATGAAGCCAACCGAGTTTATGTACATGAAAACTCGACAGCCGTGTTTTTATACGGTTTCATTATTTTTTCAACTGCTCCTGAATCAATGCCACTTGCACAAAAACTACTTATTTTGTCCGCATTTCCATTGCCAACATATATACCAAAGTCAGGGCCATAATTCCTTGAAGGATCAGCAACAAACGTAAACCCCTTGTTATTCTTTTTGACTGACATGTTGGAAGCTTTTGTCAAAATTCTGAAAAATTAAAAAAAATAGTAAACAGTATTATAGTATTCAGTGAAAATAAAAAACAGCAAAAAAAAAAAAGTAAACACCCATCAATTTCATGCACGTGTCCGGAGGAAGAATGGGCATTGTATTTTTTTTTAAATGATTTAAGTTATCTCTTAAGTGTATAAATGCAGTATCACGATTTATTACATTTATAGATGTGTATAGGTCATACAATATTTCCTATACCGTTCAAAGTGTATCTCGTTTGGAATTAAATAATTATTTGCAATATTAAGCAAACAAGAAAAATGTACCATTTAAAAGGATGACTAATTAAATTGTTATATTGTAAAAATATAGTTCTGCAAAATGATAACACTGTCTAGAGATCGAGAAAAAAATTAAGCGGATTTTTGTCAATTAAGGACAAAACGGAATTCATTTGAATTGGATAAATAACGAGTTTTCTCGATAAAAGATAAAAAAAATCTAATATATGGAAACTTATGCAAATGAACGTATGGAACTTAAAATGATATGGCCTATATGATATTTGTATGTAAATTTATGGAAAGGCTTATGAAACTTGCCATAGTATTTCAACTCCTCGCAGATTATTAGAAACAAAAGAGTTACAACATTAATGCCATTTTAATAAGCTACTTATTAAGTAAAGAATATGAATAAAGATATAAGTTTTGTAGACGTGTCTTATTCTCAAAGTAAGTATTTGAAGAGTACTAAGTTAACAAATGTCCGTTTATGTTCATGAACCCAGGCTACGAATATATCTAAAGAATGCACTCCTATATAGAATTTGAATATGTTACATTTGTTACACACTTGATCCCATTTATTTGGCAAAACTAGAAATATGTTTTACTTGGAATTACCTTATCGTACAGCTTCTAGTGGAAATCAAATTAATGTCTACGATAGTTTTTGCATTATACTTGATCGTCCCGTTTTCAGCAAACTGTCCAGCACATCGATATTCTATGCAAGCAGCTTTCTGAGTTTTATCAGGGGAACTAACATCAAACGTCGGGCTAACTTCATATGTCCCATATTGCTTGCTATTTTCAATTTTGTTCTGGTAGCTTTGCGCTATAAACCTTGCGTCGTTATCATCAGTCTAAAATTATAACCTCTTTATTATTAGCACAACGATTTATCGGATGATAATAGAAAAACGAAATAATTCGTTTTGCGGAATTAATATATTCAATTTAGTGCATCTAGTTGATATATTTAAAAGAATAGACAAACTTAGGGCAATAACTAACAACTGTTTAATAAAGTCTCATTTCACTCCATGCTATTTCATCTATTCTATTTTGACGCTAATTCCAAAAATGATGAAGTATCCCCCCTATGTTTATTTATGCACTTTGTAAATGCATGTAAAAAGTAAAGATATGGACTAATGCATGGCATGATTTTACCTGAATTAGCGTCATTATTTAGCAACGTACAGTTTGTTTGTTTGTTACAGAATGAAACAAATACTTACTTTGATTGCAACCTTGATAAAACATGATTTTCCGTATGGTTTCTCGGGAGATACGGGGTACCATGATAATGCATTGTCGAAAGTATCTTTACTTATTGTTGTCGTCAGTGCATGTGGTATAGAATTGTATGCAAACTGAAATTTATAACTCTTCTCGAATTCTTCATTACATTTGGAAAAATCTTCGAATGATACAAAGGGACTGTAACGTGTTTTTCCATTCTCGGTAATATCGTCGATATCATACGAGAAAATCTCTACTTCTGTGTTGTTTTTCGTGTTATTAAAGTTTTCGTACCACACTGGGAGGTCATGCGATTGACTTGCATAAAGTCTACTACCATCAATTTTATTCTCTGCATAAACATACACTTTAGAATCGCAGAAAACACTCAAACATGCATGCCCATTTGTGTCCGTCGTTTTACTGTCCATGCCTTGGAATTTTTGGCCGTACATTTCTTGAGTAATTGCTACTATATTTGTTCCACCAGCGGATCTTTCTCTAAATGTAAGGTCGGAGTACACAGAAACGCTTAGGTAACAAGCATTTCGTTTAGTCTTACTATCATGTTTCACAATCCTATCGCCATAAATTGGTACACTATGATCACAGTTTGTATATCCTATGATAACCCTTTCCATAACAGGTGTGTCTTCTGTTAAATCAATGTGGTCTATTTCTTGAACCTCATATTCACCAACCAAAACATTCGCTAAAAGCTTTCTCCTACCAGTTGCAAAATTTGAATCGGAAAGCATCATTTTTGCTGTTTCAACCCAAATGCCATTGTTAATATCGTAATTCCATAACGCCAAATCTGGAGAGCCATCGTCTTTAAACGACACATTGAATATTGAAGCATCGAGATTAAATTGCAATTTCTTTTTAACTTTAAGCGGAAATCCCTTGTCGTCCTCAACAGTTGTACGAAACATTCCAAATGTTTCAAGAGGTCCTGTCGACCCATCTGGAGTATTATAGACAAAATTACCGTTTGAGGCTTCAAGATCGGACAGCTTTCTTGGATCCATGAAATGAACAGTTGCCTTTGCTTTACCGGTGTAATTCATTCCATCTGAAGTTATCAGAGCATGTTCTGGGATAGTTATTCCACCGACTGGTGGAAGATTGTTAGAACCTCCTAAACTTATACTTATTCCAAGATGGCTGTCAAATTTGATTGGATTCGGTTTAAGCGGTAAAACAACAGTCACAAACGAAGTGCTATCACGTTGTGCGACCATTATTTTTGTTGTCGGTACAAACATGTAAAATGTTTCGTCAACAAAATACACTATCGCTCTTGTTTTACTACGTAGCAATTCAAAGTGGAAATACCCTCTTTCATTCGTGACCGCCGCTTTTTTCCCGTCAATGTACAGGAACCCATATGCGAACGGAATTTTAGATCCATTTTCATGCTTTCCGTATGCTGAACCTTCAACAGTCGAAGAAATCATGCATATTTTACATGCACATGATTTTATACGTTTAAGTTTATAAGAGAATCCTGGACAAAATACTTCGATCTCTGTAGTTTGGTTTTCTTCGCAGCAGTAATTACTTTCTTTATCCGAGCATGTCTCTTCATCTGTAAATACTTTTGACTGACAGTGCTCCCTACTACATTTCCCGATATCTACTACTGTCACGTTTGACCCATTTTGTTCAGCATAGCAACTGGTTGGCAGTTTGCGTGAATACAAAAGGGGATTGGAACATTGTTTGTCTGCGATTGCTGAAAAACACAGTGACTGCTTTGCTGTTGTTGTTTTTTTAATTTTAATCAAAATGTTTTTATAACAAACATCTATTAATATTAAATGCATTTGGTTTGAAGGGAAGAGTGGTACGTTGTGATAATTCAGCAAAGCATGAATGTAATTCAATAAAATATAAGTATTTCAAGAAAATGCTTAAAAGTGTTAAAATATACCCTTGTCTCGAGCATTTTACTGTATACTTTATGCATGATGCTATATGATATATAATTAAAGCCCTAAAGGAACCATTAGAGTGTTTTGTATTGCTTTTAGGTAGAACTTTTGCGACAAACTGGCAAATCGATAGATTCTAAGGACAAGTCGTTATTTACAGTGTTATGTACAGTGCTTTTCTAGACTACAATTTAGTAAGTATTGTGCAGAAGCATCAGTCTGACTCTACATTGACCAATAATAAGGTATAGGAGGCATTTTAATGATTGCTGTTCATATACCTTATCGCATTTAGCAAAGTGAATTGACACAAGACATGAAGTCAATGAGGTGGATAGTGTTTTAATAATAGGAAGCTAAACGGGGTTCCAGATTTCAATTAGCAGGGATATAGGTTATTTATTAAAAATCTTGTAACACAATTTTTTTATGGTTTTATATCATAAATATGATGCTCAAATTAAGATTTATAAATTTTGTAAGTTCCAAAAAGCATTATTTATAAAGCTATAAACGAATTTTACATTTCATATAAATAAAGGGAGGTAATAAAAATTACTTTCTATAAAGTCTAAGTCAAATTTTGCAATAAGAAATGAATGCATATATTTTAATGATAACATATAATATGTACACATATTTGCAAGACATATTTTACATATTCTTCGATGTTTGAAAATTGTTTAATAAGCATAATTATATACATATATATAATTTCACTTAAATGTGGTACATATCCTCACTACAACATACAAGATCCTTAAATAACAGTGTAAACTGATATATTACTACTTCTCCTTATTTGTTGAATGAAAATTGACGAAGCAAAGGGTACAGGGGCTTGTATTCAGACCTTACCCATCCCTACTCCCCTGTTGGATCTGCGACTTCAGTACAAGTTTATATATCCTTGAATACATACGCTCTGCACTGCCATTGTAAACTTGCTCCTTTCTTTATTATAATGACGATGTTACAAACTATGTAAAATTTGCACTTTTTATGTATTTACATGAAAATATAAAATAATTGCAACTTTGAAAAAAGTTTTGTTACATAGACTATAATAAGTATTTTATAAAGAGTAATTATGTTTTGGGGGTTACAATCATGCTTTTCCACAAGGAAATCGTTCTTTTTTTAATGTTCCGAGATAAGGTAGGCTAGTGTTTCTTAAACCAAAAATTATTTAATTAAAAATTGTCGCGCGGCTGATTATATACATATACTAACATATACATACTAGTGTTTTCTTGTATATCTAGAATACACATTTGTTACAAGCAATAATCAAAGTATTGCAAGCAATATAGAGTCCCCTATCGGTTAGAACCCCAGCAACATTATAAAGGGCCATAGACATTCAATTCTGCCGCTGTGGAAGACATTAATGAACTTGCTTTCGAGTTCTATATTTTTCAGTATCATTACAATCAATCTCCTACGCAGTGCTCTCTCCTCTCTGCCATCACAACATTATTGTCAAGATTTTTGACGACATGATTTTTTTTTTCAATTTTGACATTTATTTTAAAATGTAAACACGGTTTTGATAATGTTTCAATGTCGTAACGTGTTAGATGTGAATTAGAATAAAAAGAAATTCAGAACCATAATTTCCAAAACTATGGCCGCTTTCGAAAGAGAAATCATTCAAATAATAAATAATTTTGATTCTACATTTAACAGAAATGAATTCTTTTCAATCATATCGACTGACTTAACACCGGAGCTTAAGGTAAAATGGCGCTTTTTATTACAGATGCAGCAATTGTTGGACGATTTATCAAGCGTATCGTCATCTTGACACAATCATGTGATAAGAACATCGTCACGTGATTTATGTGAAGGCCGTGGTTACGAGTTTGCGTTATAATGTGTTAAGTTTCACTGTCTGATAAGGAAATTATGTTTATACAACTGATATTAAAAAAAATCAATTTTCTCAGGATGAATATGTGTAAGTAATATATTAACTTTTCCCTATTTTAAGTAAATTTGTTGGAAAGGTTCAAAATTATTCAAAAGTAATCTCAGTTAACAATTTTAGGGACGGACAGACAGACATAAATACAGATAAACTGATCCCTGGTTGTAAACAGAATATAACATTTTCAAAAGCAAAATACTTCAACTAAAGAAGAGATAACTCTTGAAATAAAGATGCAAGACTTATCAACATTGTCATAAATGATGTGAATGATGAATAAGAACAATTGTTTAAAAGATACCATTAATAGTATCAAAGTAGAAAAGTGAGAGAAAATAACATTTTACAAATATATACCATTTATAGTAAGATAGAGGAAAATTAAAGTTTCAAATAAATGAAAGTTTAAAAGGAAAATATTTATGTAAACACAGGCACAAGACTTAAAAATCACACACAATTTTGGTGTTGATAAAAATCTTATATTTTAAATTTGAAGAAAATACATAAAGACTATTATAGAATAAATAAGGAATGTTTTAAAGTTTAAGGGCGAGATAATTCCGGAAATATGGACGCAAGATAATATCATTGTGATGTGGGAGTATGAAATTGAAATAAACCCCTTCAGGAATAAAGGAGGTAGGTTGAGTAATGATAATATCTAAAAAAATTATATTCAAAGGGGACATACTTCTAATAAAATAGTCATTCAAATTCCTTACCGACCACTTTTAATGATGCTTCTTCTGATTTCACAATTCCGGCTTCTGTTTCTACAGTACAGCTGTAAACACCAGCATCAGATAGACTTATATTTGTGAGAACTAGTAACTTGTTGGCATTTGGCAATTCAATACCGTCCTTAAACCTACAAAGGAAACAATAAGTTGACAACGATCTCATATTTATATAGTTTTTACAAGTATTATGATGGACACGCAGAACAGTGAAGTCATGTCAATAGACATATGGACCCAAATATTCAAGATTTGATTTAATGATACACATAACGTTTCTGAATTAAATTATTGTTTTGCATAAATATCTTTTTTTCTGACCGTTTTCTACGTATATAGGATTATTATTGAATGTATATAATGGACATTACAGCACATGAAAGCTTTTCTGTTATCTGAAGTCAATTTATATATACAGCCATTAAAATGTAAATGTGGGGCTATCTAGAATATGATTTACTTGTATTTCAGACAATTAATTTGATAAATGTAATTTTCTAAACAAGAGCGATCAGTAATCACATGTGTCGCCTCATGATGGCCACTTTCATGTTGGGACAAATTTTGTGACAGACGGACAGACAGACGGACAGTGCACAACTAGACTTGGTACTGATCATTCCTGTAAAGTTTGGATAAAATTGCACCAGTAGCTTATGAGGAGTAGTCTGGACAAGTTTTTGCGTATCTGGCAACACATAGAAAAAAACACCTTTTTATCAAAGGGCCATAACTCGGCCAAAAATCATTCAACCGGAAAACCCGTGCAATATGCTCAAGGACTTGAGCTACAGTTCAATCCTGTAAATTTTCATTGAAATTGCAATAGTGGTATAAGAGAAGTAGTCCGGACAAAATTTAAAATTAAAAATTATTAAAGGGCCATAACTCTGACAAAAATCATTGAACCGGAAAATGCTGACAATATGCACAACTAGACTTGGTAATGATCACTCCTGTAAAGTTTGAATGAAATTGCACCAGTTGTTTCTGAGGAGTATTCCGGACAAACTTATGTGTAGTTGGTAACGCAAAAAAAGGAATGTTTAAAACCACCTTTTTCTTGAAGGCTCATAACTCGGCCAAAATCATTCAACTAATAAAACCCATTTAATATGCCCAAGAACTTGAGTTACAGCTCAATCCTGTTAAGTTTCATTGAAATTGCATTAGTGGTATAAGAGAAGTAGTCCCGGACAAACTTTAAAATTAAAAATTATTAAAAGGGTCATAACTCTGACAAAAATCATTGAACCAAAAAATGCTGACAATATGCACAACTAGACTTGGTACTGATCATTCCTGTAAAGTTTGGATGAAATTGCACCAGTAGTTTATGAGGAGTAGTCCGGACAAGTTTTGTGACAGACAGACAGACAGACAGACAGACAGACAGACGGACAGACAGACGACGGAGAAGTGATCCCTATATGTCGCCACTACTCCGTAGAGGCGACACAAAAACCGCATAAATAGATACAATTTTGACTATGTTGATAGTGTAATTTACATTTATAGAAACATTTTTTTTTATCTATGTGTACATATGTACTCACCAATGAACTGATGCCGGTTTCGGTCTCCCAGTCGCTATACAACATAATGTTGCGTTTTGATTAATCACTCTGACTTTGTTTTCCGGATGCTTCAATATCATTGGAGAAACTGCGGAAAAGTATAAAGACATAAATAGTTGATTTTGTTACTTGCGAGTTTTATAAATCATGATGAATACTTATAGAATAAGTTTCTATTGTTTAACATAAGATATCTTTTAAATTATTTAAAAGGCCATTTTGTTAGTGTAATATTTTCTTTACTTGTCACTTTCACTTAAAATATTGTATCGAATTTGATAAGAAAGTCACAATGATTTGAATTAAGGCAAATATATTTCAAAAGGTAATTATAATTTACGTAATAAAGTACTTGAAATGCAACGGCTATGTCTAAAGAATTTAGAATATTACAGACCCATCCTGTAAATCTTCTGTGTTATGTTCAAATTTATGTTATTTTCTTGTTTCACGCTGATGGTCTCATCGACATACCCATCCTTGTGCAGTATTATTGACGCATTTCTCAAACATACATTTTTCACCAGAAATGTTCCATTGCTGTCTGTGACGCCAAGCCGTTTACGTGATATGGATAAAATATGTACTTCTACAGTTTCCAACGGAACGTTTGTGTTGCTTTTCACTTTCACTAAGAGAGTTGTATTGATGCATAAACATACATCACATTTGGAAGATAATGTAGCGTCTTTACCACATACAAATGAGCAGTCTAAAATAATCATTATCGGAAATAAAATAAATGGGTTATTTCTAAAAAGAATAACACATACGTAATATAGATACATGTATAACAACATGTATACTGTATATATGAAATGATTAGAATAACATGCTCGTTTAGTGCAATTAACACATATTTCGGTCTTTAACTTTGCAAATTTAAGAGGCACCGCATTACGTGTTATTTTACAATTGATGAGTAAGTAAATAAATATCCTACTAAAACGCTTGAATTACAAACAAAGAACTGTTTAATATTATTAAAGTCCCAGTTCAAGCTTTAACTTGAAGTTACTAAAGAAATCACTTTTTGATATAACTGGAAGTACTAAACTACCAAATATCTGTTTGAGATTTGTTTTAAAAATATTTTTATCAAAATTAAAGAGCAGCAAACATTTTAATAGCGACTCAAAAATCTTTGTGGCTTATTTCGCATACAATCTATAAGAAAACGATGAAATTAGAGGAATCAATCCTACATTAGTGTATGATAACCCTTATGCTTAAACTCTGCATTGAAGAGTATTCAAATAGCATTATGTGGCGTGGGTTTCAAACTCCACGAGAGGCAACTGTTGTTTTCTCTTTTTTTTCTTAAGCAATATTTGTGTATTTTCAGAGGAAAGAAAAAGGTGTTTCAATTTCAATTATAGAATTATTTTAGGGATTTCTTGGCTAACTTGGCTAAATAATGCAACATTGAATAACATACATGGTAGACAAGCTTTACGAGTATAATTATTTTCATTTTATTTGCTTATTATATTAAAGCTCTCCACAATACCTGGACATTTCCAATCGGAGCAATTTCTCTGTTGTGATCTTGGTCCTTTGCAAAAGCTCCCACCATTTGCTGGTACTGGTGCACTGCAATACCGTTGTCTAGTCTGTTTTCCGGAATCGCATGTTTTGGTACATTTCGACCACTCTGTCCAATACGTCCATCCTCCGTCGATACTATCTAAGTACATATCAACAACAAGTCATGTCATTAATCGTAGGTTACCTTCCTCACAAAAAGGAACGAACCAGGGACCCATTTAATAACACACAAGAACAACAATGTCATACTAAGTTATAATATTAATTTAAAGTTTATAAATGGTTTATAAAATGACACTAGCCAATTGTATTGTAAGCCATACGAAAGTGACATTTCAAAACTTATTGAATTCAATTTAAATACTTTTCATGTGATAACTTTAAACTTACACGTTATGATAACTTTTCACAAAATCCAGTCAGGAAAATCTTTATACCAGTACTTGATTTAAATCAGACACACCGAATATGATTTTCTGAATTAGTTTGTTTAATGGCCGCTTATTTGAAAAATAAAGTTGAATAAGATTTAATCTGAAAATCTGATACATTCACTAATTTTCGTAATGCATGCATCACTACTTTGTTTTAAAAAGTCATGCTTAACCTGTGCACTGCCGCATCGTGCATTTTTCGGTTTCTAAGTTCTTCCCAAGACAGGTATCATTTTCACGTCTCTTTACACACTCTTTGAACCTTCGTCTGATGCCTGTTCCACATGTTCTGCCACATGCACTCCATTGTGTCCAAGGTTTTAAAACGCCAGCTCCTAAATGGTAATAAATGTAGAATAAACGAAACATTTGTTTTCATTTAATATACTAGAATCGTTATACATACGATAAAAACGTATCAAATTGATGATATATTGATGTTTGAAATTAGCTCAAAAATGTATATTGTAGATTTGGATATACAGCAGCCGTACTGTTAATGCGGACAGACTATTTCTTAGCGATGAATAACCTGCTCAATAATGTTTCAGTAATTTACTGTATAACCATAAAGGGAATTTCAAGATTCTGTACCTTTAACTACTAGATTTACAAAAATAGAAAATTCTACAAATGGATCAACGTAAGGATATGGATATGAGGGAAGGTAGAATAGCAAAATGCTTCTATGTTTAAATCGAACCGCTACCTACTACAGAAATATCCAGTCCTTGAAACCGATTTCGAAATGAGGTGTCAATACCCGAGAGCTAATGCACTTATTATATATGCATACCGGACATATCGTCATTCAGTTATGTTTAATATGATATTTCCTAATATCAAGCAGAAATTTGGATTACACAATACTTCTAAATTACTCTAAATAACTTAAATATTTTCTTGCCTTTGCATAATATATCTATAACATCTTTTGTGATATTTGCTACAGTACTGGTAGTTGGGGATGGTTGTATCTTTATATTTGATTTCTGTACAGTTGAGCTACTTTGGTTATCTAGAAAAAGAAGTTCAACCATGTTCTCCTGTAGTTTATCACTTATCCTGTTAAACTGTGTATCATTCAATGTTCGTGAGTGTGAAACAACGATAAGAAATTTCGGAGCACTTTGTCTTGTAGCATTGCGTCCGGTAAAACCATGTATCAACGAATAGTTTATTGCTTCTTCCAAACGACTTTGTCCAGTTGCCCGCCACATAAAATCGATTGCTAGATTTAAATCATTTAAAGATTTATATGTATCCAAGTTAAACTGGATGGTTGCTTGTTCTGCAAATGTTACCAGTGCCAATCTGTTGTCTTGATTAAAAATGTTGGAAGCTATTTCTTTCGTCAGAGTTTTCTCCGCCTCAAAATGGCTATTGGTCACGATATCAGATGTATCTAGTGCAATGGCAATATCTATCGGAGAATTCGTGCATCCTAAAATAGTTTAAAACGTCAATAACACATGTAATACTTCAGGATAAATCTCCGTAAAACAGCTCAGCCATTACCATTAAGTTAAAGAAAGTACTTTATTTTTTGGGCTAGAAGAAATAATACAAAATTAAGTAATAGAGAAAAGAAGCATACGTTACCTTATGTGACATCCGTGATTTGATATGGAATAACCAAGTCAAAGAGACAGAAATATAAATTTCGAGACTGCAATATCATGATTTTACAAGAAATGGTTACACTAAAAACAATGTGAAATAATTTTTCTTCACGTATCGTTCCGAAAGTCAGGTTGGTAAAAAAAAAAAACAACAAAAAAACCCCAATAAAAAATCAAAGCACAGAAGGCGCTGAATTTGTTTGGGTCTCAGAATGTCAGAAAGGGGAAGGTTGTGAGATTATAAACCAATTAGTTTTTGTAAAGTGCCACCAATTCTTTCCAGCGTTTTAATTGTAGTAAATTGGCTATAAGACTAATTTAAACACTGATATTCAATCCAATGTTTATTTGACTTAAACAATAAGAAAAAATGAATTGCCGTAACTGGGATTTGAACTCCAGACCTCTCGCTTCCTAAGCGAGCGCGCAATCCCCTCGGCCACGGTGAAGTTATTTGGTAACAGCCTGAAGAAAACTATATTATTCTATAAAGGGTACGACGCTAACTGTTGTTTAGCACAGATTTTAATAATCATGGAGCTTACTATAAGCATGTATATCTATAAAAAAATAAAACAATATTAGAAATCTTCGTACATTCGGGAATTATTTTGCTTGAAAATTAATGCGCCTGTCATTTGACCATCTTTAACGCAGTGATCTCCCCTGAATTTTTCGGCGTTAGTTTACATATAAAGGGAAGTAACCGCTTCAAAAAAAGCGGACTACTTTCGGCACTTGCAATTAACAGCATTAGAGTCTGAAATTTCGCTACCATTATTTGTTTGGTCTGACGACCCCCCCCCCCCAAAAAAAAAACAAAAAAAAAAAAACAAAAAAAAAAAACGATTATATGAATTTATCTCATTAGTAGTAATAAATTGGATCCGATTGGATTGTCTAAAGGTAGTGGTGCAAAATCAGATTTAGGTTATGTACTTAATACATTTGGTTACTATCAAATGCCATTCTGACCTCGAGGTTATAAATCTTTTTTCTGAGTTCTGTCTCAAATCTCAGGATTCTCATTGGTCAGTGGAAATCCTGTGGCAATTTCAGACCAATCAAATACCTGAGATCTGAGTTTGAGCTTAGTGTACGTTTTTATAACCTCGAACCCTGGTCTGTTTAAAGTGGGCGCCTTAAAATTGCATTTAATTATGACACAAACAAATGGAATATATTTAGTTTATAATTCCTTTGTGACACGATTGTTTTAAATCAGATAAATACGACGAATTGAATAATAATAATAAAATGCATATGAACTTACTTTGTCCTGTTTCCCCAACAACACTGTACACAAGACACAAGAGAATGCTTGAAACTAAAATCATTGTGCTTTCTTTCCTCTAATAGCGATCGTCGGAAACCAAGAAGGCAATTCCTTATTAGATTAAGAAGATATCCTACATTTACCAATATTTTAGTGATTGTCCGCTCTTAGTATCTATCCGGCAGGCGATTTATTACATAACTAAATATCACCTGCCCAATCGCCAATCACGTTCTTCCACTAAAATACAAGTTTAACTTTAACTATATAAGTTTTATCTAGAATCTAGGAGACTTTGCTCTGTAATAGCGTTATCAGTTATACGCAAATTATAAAATAAATTGTAAATGTAATGAATGTAGAATGCAAAATATGAAATAAATCGCTTTTAAAAAAGAACTTTGCAACCTTGACATATGTCTTGTACAGTATATAAGTGAATATCCGCCAGTTCGTATTTTGTGTTGAACATGCTAATTCTAATTTTATTATAATAGTTTGTACGCAAACATGATTACACAACGACACGTGTTTTCATTAGTTAAGAATATGACGACATTTTAATTTGAACATATTTTATTTTTATTAGATATTAGTTTATCTTATGACTATATTTCTCGTAATGAAATTTACAATAGGGATTGTGTCCATGAAAGATTTTCAATGGAAAGCCAAGATTATAATTAATATATCGTCTTCATACATTATAACGTTGACGTTATAATAATGTGAGGCCGGGAAATAATTTTGATACATATACCATTTTCAAACGGAGATTCCTCACAAGTGTCTTTTACAATGACTTATCCCGCCTTTCTTTCACTGTCTGGTATACATATACATGTGTGTTAATATATGGAAATCTAGCATATGAACTTTTTAGTTACTGTAGGCCTGGCATAGAGTGACATTTAGTTATGTAAACAAAACCATTATCGCATAGACACTACCTCTCTGTATTCGTTTTGCAAAGTGAAGATGCATCTAAGTTTGTAGTTAAGATTATCAATTAACCAAGTGGGCCAGAATATCTCCACACGTGCTGGTCCGGTTTTGTACACTCATCAACGGCATCGTGACTTAATTCCATATTATACCATCTCATCATTCTATGTTTGTAGTAGTATTCGACGACAATTTCATTCAACGCGTTTTCTAACAAAACACTAATACTGACCGAGTAAGTCATGACCGGTCAACTAGTCATCCCAGGTACTTAAGACGGCATGACCTGATCTGCATTGTGCAAGCTTGGTAAAGAGCCTGTGTCGGTGTGTTGGGGGTAGGCATCTGGAGGACTGAGAAAAGTAATGACATATATCTACAAAAATGTTATTCCATTCTGCAAAACAGAATAGTTCGCATAAAAATTTAATATTAAAGATAAACTATGCTCAAATTTGATATAATACAATTATTGACTATTAAGCCATTAAAAATGATGTGATATTCAACGGCAGATGAAATTGTCCGATAAAAAATAGAAATAATGATAAGCAGTTTGCATGTTTACAAAATGAAATGTATATAATCATAATAAAAGATGATAAAACGAATTAAGAAAAAAGATATTGTTCCGATTAAAATGATGTCATATTATTCATCCTTCATATAAGAAAAGTATTATTCTAATACGAATGTTTGCGTAAAAACTATGATATATATAGAGTAAGAAAGAACATGTTAGAATAACAAACAAGAAGAAAGACGAACTGGCGGATGAACCCTCAGGTAACCAACTAACTTTTAAGTTTAGTGATATCAGAACAGAATTACTCTTTCGACCTCCTGATAACCGTAAGTCATTAATACGAATAAATCATCTTTATTATCAATTGTGTGTCATGAGGTCAACATAATCTGACGCAAACTCGAATGTTTTGCGCGTTTAAGATTAAAACCTTTGATGTTGGCATTGATAAAAGAGACAATTTTAAACCTAAAGTATAAAATTGAAGTTTATTCAAGCCTTATTTAAGAAGTTTCTGTTTATTTTACCACACGTATCAGACAATAAATGGAATACCACACAATGTAAACAAAACATAGATTTGTTTGAAAACCCTTTTTATGATAAATTACAAAAATGACAACAAAGACCACATTTAAACTTGTTAATATTGAAACAAATTAGGGAAGTTTGAGAATTTGATAGATAACTTATAATTACTTAAGGATTAAATTGTAAATTAAGAATCATTTGGTTTGCTTCGGACTTTTTAATACAATGTAATATTTAGAAGCCTTGGTACAGTAGTAACAGTGAGAGTTCTGGGGCTCAAATCCGAATGAAGGCAACTACATGCAATTTTATTTATATTTTAATATTTTTTAAGTGTCATTTTAGCGGTTTTAATTTTTTTTTCTTAAAGAATTAGCCAAAATATGCAAGCAAGGACATCAAAAGAATTTGATAGATAACTTATAATTACTTAAGGATTAAATTGTAAATTAAGAATCATTTGGTTTGCTTCGGACCTTTTAATACAATGTAATACTTGGAAGCCTTGGTACAGGGGTAAAAGTGAGAGTTCTGGGGCTCAAATCCGAGTGAAGGCAACTACATGCAATTTTATTTATATTTTAATATTTTTTAAGTGTCATTTTAGCGATTTTAACATTTTTTTCTTAAAGAATTAGCCAAAATATGCAAGGACATCAAAATGTACATAAATGATATTATAATGCAAGTTAGAAACTCTGGGCAAAATAACGTATGTATCAAACTCAAACTGTCATTATAGCAAACATGTAGATGGTAAAAGTGTTTTCTATTTTATAACTCGTTTATATGTTTGTATGTGTGTATGTAGGTAATCTATTAAAACTTGAATAAAAAATATCTTCATAATTATATATATATATACTTGTTTCTTACAGTCACTTTGTACAATGTGTAGGTCCGAAATAAAAGCAAAAGACATAGATAAATTTTACAAAATAAAAACATGTTTCATATGCAAAAATAATTCCTCTTAATATGCAAGGGTGATTGAAATTTCAAAGATTGGGTGTGGCACTAAAACATTAAATAATAAAAAATCGGATGGTGAAATTTTCTAATATTTAAAAAATAATCGTCCTATACTATCTTCGTAAGAAAAGTTATGAAAAAATTATTGTATCGTCCATGAATAAAAATCTTAAAATAGTACTGTCTTCAAAATTTCTAAACCACAGACGATCAATAGTTAAGAGTTTAAGATATGCATACACATTCACCAATTGCGTCTTAAATTTCTTTTTCAACTCATTATGCTAACTGCATGCTTACATTACATTTACAAACGTGTTAGAGTAGTACAATGATAGGAAAGATGTTTTCCAACATCAAAACTATTTTAGTTGGACTTACAATTTTAATTGTGTTCAATGGTATGTCATTTCAAAAGATAATAATTATATCTTTACATACATCGTAAATAGCTGAGATTTTTTTGTATGGCAATTGATTGTTACTTATTATTTATGTTATAATTGACTATGTTTTATCTGTAAGAACTGTAGAGTACATACCATTTTTTCTCTTCATTTAAACTGAATTGTAGTCATTTAAAGCGTAACAAAAATTGATTTACAGAATCCTGTTTCCGCGATCGACACCGGAAAATTCAAGCTTAATTTTTAATTTGGTCGAATAGTGGATTGCGAAAACAGGATCCCAGTGTAATGTTTATGAATATTAAAATTTCACAAAACTTTAATATTGCTTTTGATAAGATGTTAATGCAGACTCGTGTTCAACTGCATGTACATGGATAACGTGGGAGTCATGGGGCTCTTGCTCCTCTTCTTGCGGAGGAGGTTATCAAATAAGAAACCGGGATGCTTGTTGTAGAAGTGACGCAACATTTGATGAATGCATGAATGAATGTCACATGCAATCATCCGATTCAAGGGAAAGACGATGTTGCAATACTTTCTGCAGTAACGGCGGTTCTTGGACATATTTGGACAGATCAAGTTGCACGGGCCGCTGTACCTGTCCTAAGGGATTTAAAGGAAGTTGCTGCCAAACAGGTATCGCGTCTTTTTGTGGTTGTTTTTAAATATGAACTAATAACTTAAGACCAATTTTTGAAGAACATCGTGTAGGTTGTAAAAAAGTTAACAGCCTAGCAGCCTATTAAAAACTAAGAATAATACGAACATCTAAATGGTCGGAAAATGCATTAGTAGAACTCCCTTATTTTAATTCCACGCATTTTTCAATATCGTGATCTTTATTTTTTTATTCTAATGCTTATCAATATGTATATTTAGTAGTCTAGCCGCATTACAGCCTGAAAAACTCTACAGTACAGGCATGAAAACCGTAAGATATGAATCAGTTGCGCTTAATCAGACCATTCCACGCCTCTTTTAATATCTTGGTCTTTATTTCTTAAATGTTGAACTTTATATTTTTGTTTATTCTGACTCTTCGAATTTTGTAAAGTTAGCAGCCTAGCAGCCTGACGAAAACTTAGGTTATTAGAAACATGAAAACTGTCGAAAATGAATCAGTAGCACTTCCTTCGATCATTTCACGTCCTTTTCTTAATATCGCGATCTTAAATTTTTAAGATGTTGAACTTTAATTTTTTTCTGACGCTTCGAAATTCATTAAGTAAGGCAGCCTACTAAACATGAAAATCATCGGAAATTAATAAATAGAACCCCCTTCGTTTTATATGATCAAAGGCGTGGAATGGTCTAAAGAAGCGCTACCGATTCATTTTCGAGTTTTTCATGTCTATACTATTCCTAGTTTTTTTAGGCTGCCAGTCTGCTAGGCTGTTATCTTCACAAATTTCGAAGCATGAGAATAAAAAAAAATATAAAGTTCAACATCTTAAAAAATAAGAACACAATATTGAGATAGGCGTAAAATGATCTATGAAAGTGCTACAAATGCAATTCCAACGTTTTAAAGTTTATACTATTCTAAGTGCCTTTTAGCTGCCAACTTCAGGCCGTAGAGTGGCAACTATACGAACATCAAATATAAATTTTTATATAATGCTTTCCAGTGTTTTACTGTAATCTATCAGATATTTATATTCTGATAAACCTCAAGTATAATCAAAATTTTATATTTCTATATCTGAATGCGGATGAAAAGAAAATCATAACTAAATGGAAAAACAGGCAGAAATAAATGCCGTCTTATGTAAATTTTGTTTCTTTAGGAAAAGAAAGTCGATGTGTACATACACCATGTTGAAAATGTACCAAAATGAGAGAAATATAACAGAACTATTTTCTTTCAAAATTGATGATGTGACTCAGTGGAATATATTTCAATCTTACATGCAAAACAAACAAAATAGTAAATTCTTCAGGCTCGTTATCAATCTTTGTCTATCACTCAATTTCAGCTTGCAAATATATACCACATTGCCTACCAAATGAAACAGAATGCAATATCATAGGTGCACAATGTCTTAAATGCAGTCCACCTTATATTTCAACTGGATGGAAAGGAACGTGTAGAAGCCGTAATGCAATCTCAATTTCTTGTGTTTTTTTATTTTGTTCTGAACCTAACACATTTCTTATCATATATGTTTTTTTTGTTTGCCATTGATTCGTATTCCAATAGATTATTACGGAATGTTCCTTGCATTGCCTTTAGAAAAGGCCATGATAAATAAAAACAATGTCAATAAGATAAATGTCAATTATTAAAGATAATTAATAATCTGCAATTCAAGGTATAATTTCATAACTTACTGTAACATTTAAGAATGGTCCCTTTTTCTCTCCATTACCATAAAGCACGTTTTACTGATAATTTTTGAAAGGGAGCGCGATTCGGTTGATTATTTATCCTTATATTACACCAACAGCCTTGTGTACTCCTATGTGCAAGAATAACGGCACATGTATATCTGACAATGTATGTGACTGTGCTCCAGGATTTATAGGGGAACGATGTAATCTCGGTAAGAGTAAATATATTTATTGAAAATGACAATTTAATTACTTATTATGCACCCTCCTTCGAAGAATAGGGGGATATTGTTTTGCTGTCTGTCTGTCGGTCTGTCTGTCTGTCGGTCTGTCCGCCTGTATATCACATGGTTCCCGCTGATTATTTTAAAAAACGGTTCATCACAAAGTTTATATTTCATATACTTATTAGTCATAACTATAAAATGACCACTATTGATTTTGGTGTCACTTGGTCAAAGGTCAAGGTCACGGTTGCCTTAAATGTCAGAATGGCTTCCGCTGATTATCTTGAAAACTATTCATAACAAAGTTTTCATATTTCATATTCTGATTGGTCATAACTAGTATATGACCCTTATTGGTTTGTGATCACTAGGTCAAAGGTCAAGGTCACAGGGGCCTCAAATGTCAATTGGTTTCCGCTGTTTATCTTAAAAACTTTTCATCACAGAATCTTCATATTTCACATACTGCTTGGTCATGACTAGTCCATGACCCCTATTGATTTTGGGGTCACTAGGTCAAAGGTCAAGTTAATAAGTGTCTAAAATGTCAGAATGGTTTCCGCTGATTATCTTAAAAACTATTTATCACAAAGTCTTCATATTCCACATACGGATTGATCATAACTTGTAGATGACCCCTGCTGTTTTAGGATCACTAGGTCAAAGATCAATGACACAGGGGCCTAATTTGACAGAATGGTTACATTTATATGATAATATATATTTTGTTCCAGCTACCCTCCAACTTGTATAACTTATTAATGATAGCTTTCATTCAGTTTCAGGTCATATATTGGTTATTATTTTTTTCCATAACTGAACACTTCCATGTACCCATTTATAGCATGTTTTATTACAAAAGTACCAATAGTATGAGTCAAGGTCTGGAAATGGGGGCATATGTGTCGTTCGCTTTTCTTGTTTTAGCATATGCTTTTGATTTTTGTCTTGCTGAATGTCAATGTGTGTACAAAAATTGGAAGTTGGACTCTAACATTTAATTATTATACAAAATTATTGACAACGAAATCTACTCTGTCGAATTGAATACTTTTTCGTTTTTATGAATGATTTGATGTCAATCTCACATTTCATAAGCTTGTATTGACATGCAAGTACATGGGCATTTAGTGTCTCCGTTACAAAACTGTGCTTATAAACATTGTATGTAACTATATTAAGGTGGAAGTATGGAATCATACCTGGTACCAACTTTGCATGCAGTCGAGCAAAAACCGTTTCGACCATTATCTTGGTACGACCAACCTTCATTTTCGGAGTTTGGTAGAGTTTGTCACATCAAAATCACAATGGAGGTATTTATTTGTGTCAAAGTGATATACAGTTTATTTCATTTTACTGATTGCCTTTAATGATTTAAGGCATTACCACCCTAACGGGCACTATAAGGAACTGAATAATTTATATCATAGGTCAAATATATACCTTAAAGTTCACCTGTATGCAAAATTTAAACAAACTTTACCGTACGGAAATCGAGTTATGGCCACTTTTATGAACTGAAGCAAGGGTGTATGAGGGACCTTTTTCAGAAATGAGTAACATTTAAATAATTGGCAATAACATTCTAATGAAGAACGTTTTCCCATTACTATTCAGCTAACAATCAACATAAACAAAATTATGGTTTCTACTCCAAATTTTTTAAAAAAGTATAAAAATGTTACCCTACCCCACCCTTTTTTAACAAGTGTTAGACAAATTTTGAACTTAGGGAGCCTAATTTAAAAAATCCTTAAAATTTACCCGAATGAGTGCCGGTTTTCAAAGTTTCCCTTAATTTTTTAAAAAAAGTATATTGGTTGATTTCGTAAAATATTAAATACTTTTACCGTCTAGTTCCGATTTTATTACACTTTGAAAATATCAGGTACCATATTTATTACTAGATTTAGCATTATTTAGCCAATAGATACCTATATAAATTAAATAATAAAAAATAAACACTTTTTCTACCCAAAATGGATGAAGAAATACATAAATAATGTTAAAAGAAAAAAAAAGTTTCAATGTAGTTAACAGTAGTTCTAGCCTATTTGAATACTCTTCAAAGCGGAGGTAAGGTATTAGGATGGTAAGGGGGCAGGGGACATATTCGAATGATGGCCCCGGTCAATTTTTTTAATAACTCAGACATGGTGTTTTGAAGGTACTGGACACTTCTTATATTTCTCTGTCATTGTAATTTTTTCTTGTTTGTGTGTAGGAAATGTGCAGTATTTTTGGGTTTTTACCCGAAACTAAGCATTTTGGTAGCTTTGTATGTATTTGTGACTCTCCGAATGGAGGTGAAAAAGTTAAAAATCAATCTTTGACATTTGGCGCCAAACAAGTAAGAAATTTCTGATAAATTTTGTGAAAAATCTAAACGTATGACAGACACTTTGTTGGTCATTTTTGAAAATGCCATAGCTTGCACTGCGTGTTAGTGATATTATTAAAGGAATCGGGCGGATTCTGGAGTATGCTGCACCTTCATGAAGATTGCCCATATTGGTATATTTTAGGTGTAATTTGGGCTGGGTGGGGGTAAATATAAATTGCTGTCAGTCATTTTTTAAGGAGCAATGCATGCAAACTATTATTTTCTTCAATGTATGTCATATATCATTGAATAATGTTATGCAACTGGTTATCTGCATGTGAAACAGATTTTGAAATATTTGGAATTGTGTTTCTGGCCACACTGAAATACAAAATTGTTCATTTTTAGGTCCCCTGCCCCCTAATACCTTAAGCTTACCTGTATGTTTATAGATAGCAAAAGTAGCAACAACATTGAACACAATTTTATTCCTTTTTCATGTTTTGCTGTCATTTCAACTTTCAAATTCAATTTGAATGCAAATAAAAATTTACAACCTTTATGTCCTAGAACACTCCTGCGGAAACATTGGTACTAGCAGAAAGCAGAAATCTAAATGGAGAAACCTACGGAAATTTTACAACTGGCCCGATTGATAGCAAGGGAAGCCTAAATGCAACAACTCGAACTGCATGTCTACAGATACGTTGTCCTTCGGATGCAAAGGGAAACGATTTGCATACAATTGACGTACAAGTCTACCCAGTGACTGGAACTGGAACATGTACAATAATGTAAGTTCTAATATACAAAGACTTATGGGTGTTAATATCATAATTATATCCCAACAAACAAACGAGTCAGATTATCGGTTGGTCAGTCGGTCCAACTTTTAGTTTCAGGGCGATAATAAGAGTTTGGAATGAGATATTGTAATCAAACTTGGTATATAGCAACCTTATGTGGAAACCTTAGTTGAAATGCTCTAGCGTTATGGTCAAAGTAACCGTTACTGAAAATGGAAAATGGTTTCCGGACAATAAAAGAGTTAGGGATGAGATATTGTAATCAAACTTGTAATCAAACTTGTATAGCAAGCTGATATAAAGACTTCTGTTGGGAGTCCTTTTGGTTTCCTTTGGGTCACGGTCATGATTCCTAAAAATAAAGAAATGGATCTGGACAATACAAGAGATAGACAGGAGATATTGTTATCAAACTTGGTATACAGCAAGCTTACTGGAAGGCCAAGTTAAGATTACTTTTGGACCCCTTGGGTTTAGGGTTTAAGGACACTGCAACTAAAAATAGAAAAATCGTTCCGGACTATAACTAGAGTTTGGAATAAGATAATGTATCAAACTTAGTATATAGCAACCATATGTGAAAATCCAGTTTAGAATTGTTGTTTGACTCACTGGAGTCAAGGTCACCTTTACTAAAAAAATAGTAAAATGATACAATTTCTACAGTTATTAATGAGATATTAAAATCAAACTTAGTAAAAAGCAAGCTTATAGGAAGACCCTAGTTGGGATTGCTTTTGGACCTCCTTGGGTCTTATATAGGAAAATGGTTTTGGGAAAATAACTTAAGTAAGAAATGAGATATTGTAATCATACTTGGTATACAGCAAGCTAATATAAAGACCCTGGTTTTGCTTGCTTTTGGACCCCTTGGGTTATTGGAATAGAAAAATGGTTTCTAGATGATAACTACAGTAAGCGATGAGATATTGTAAACAAACCTAGTATTGAGGATACTTAAGCAGAGATAATGCTTAGAATTGTTGACACCCCCCCTAGGTTCATGGTCAAGGTCACTGTTTCTAAAACTAGACAATGGTTTCTGGACAATAGACACCGATTGTTATGATTATTTTTTCACAGACGAAACATCATAAATTATTGGTCGAGTTCAAATTTTGCTTCAGATCACTTGCTTTTAAAAAAGCTTAGGTTGCTGGTGGGGGCAAGAATCACCTTTAGTGAGTAAGAATCGCATTTCTAAATGAAATTATTTTACGTTTATTGCAGGAAAACAAAAGATAACATAAATGTAACAGTTCGAAACCAACCAATGTCACACGATAAGATTCAACTGCAAATCGACTATGGAAATAATTATGGCCCAGCTTATGGGCTATACTTTGGCATGGGAACAAGAGACAATGCAATATATGCGACTAGACAACAATGCTTGAGCGGTACAAATTTCAATGTTAATGAAATAAACACTTCAAATGGTGTGTTTGCAGTATATAAATGCTTGCAATAGAACATATTTATTATTCAGAATCAGGTAAATGAAATACACTAAAGTAAACTAAATACTTCGTATCGAATTATGTTTCTGAAAAACAACAACAACAAAAAAAACAAAAAAAAAAACAAAAACAACAAAAAGAAAACTTAATAGTCCATTTTTCATCGCTTTTTGTTTAATATTGGGTTGCTTTTAGTGATGTTTTCAAATTTTTGCTCATTCGTATATACTGACTTGTTTATTTGTAATGTTATTCCTTGCCATACTTAAAATGGAAAGTTGTGAAAATAAAGCCCCGGCTAACACATTTATGGCCAACTTTTCAAATATCCTAGAGTTCTTCTGATTACTCTGAAAATGTCAGAGAGTTCTTCTGATAACTTTTGTAACTGCCAGTGTGTTTCTTCTCGCGCTAAGTTACGGCTCGTTTTAGCGTTTTTTATTTGTCAAAAAGGGTGTAAATTATTATGGAACAAAAAACGCTCCTTCTTTGCACACGAAAATGTGACTATTACATGTTGGTTTTGAGTTTTTAAAGATGAGAATTGCCATTTTTGACGAATGTGTCTTCTTTTGACGGACGTTTCTTCGATATATACAAAAGTTTTCCGACGAACTTCTTGGCAGTTATCAGGAAAACTCATGACAAGTTATCAGAAGAACTGCATATACCGTGTAACAGTCCCTCCTCCGTAGGATATACATGTGCTTATAAATTGATAATTGTTGACTATGACAACAGTTTTACTAATCTCAAAAGTTAAATATTAAATTGAAGAACTACTACTGTACTAACGCTTTATTCGTGTGTTATCCTCTTATTATTTCATTATGAGAATCTGCCGTTAATAATCAGGCTAAAATAAAAAGCCTGTATCATTTTCAATTTGTCGTTTTATACATTCTTTTAAGAATCCCGGTATTTCTATTTATAATTTCAATTCCTGAACTTACTGATATATTGTTTAGCTCTAAATCTAAATATATAAGTGATAAATGTAAAACAAACAAAGTTGATTTGAACACGTTTGCATTTTTGTCCATAATACAATATTTGTTTTGTCACAAAATTACTGCTAAATATTCATGTAATATTACAAAATAAACTGTCAAATGACTTCACACTTGCATCAAAATCATTTCGAAGCCGGTCTATTTTATGCAATTAGTCAAGAATAGCATATACAATATATACGGCCCTCTGCCACCGTTCTTTTGCAGATGTTAATGGTTGACTGAAACAATTATATTTTCATATTGATATGTTTATTTAGTTTAATCTATGCTCGCACGGTATAAATAGAGGAATGTTTGCGTAGTCAATAATTTCAATAGTGAATAGTGAAAAAGCTGGACGACAAGGACGCAGTATATTTAATAATTACTCAAGAATAAATAGATTCCTAAAACCAAAACACTGCATGTTTACGAAAACATTTTTAATGTGAATATTACTACATTTTATCAATAGTTTGTCAAACAAAAACAAAGAAATAAAACGTCCACATTTTGTCAGAATATGCAAAATATTGTTTTAAATCTTAGTCAATCTTTGATCGTATAAAAAAGATAGTTTCCGATGCGTTTTATGTACTCAATATATTCATGTTTCTAGTATTTCGCAGAAAATTTCAGTCTTTATCACATCAATCATTAAATGCTAGTCTTTCTTTAAATACTAACTGGTGGCTTCTGATAACAGCAGGTGTCAAGTCTTATGAAGCAACCGTAAAAAAGATGCCCCGTACTTCACTTCAGTGTTGTTATATTGCTGGTCCTTCGGAATCATTTAGTACAGCACTTTCAAGTGTTGAGAATTGAGTATCGGTCAAGCAGATGCTAGGGGACGTGAGAGATATTGCACATTTTCATAATCCCTCATGTTCAGACTCTATCAAACCAAGTTGCAATTGTCATGTAAATTTGCTGTTTTTGAAGTTGCCGAGGGATCAATTTTTACCAGATATCTATACATCACAACAACAGGTGTCAAGTGCTGTGTGGCAGCCGTAAAAAGTTGCCCAGTACTTCATTCCAGTGTAGTTATATTTTTCTGGTCCTAGTCTTACACTTTTAAGTGTTAAAATCTGAATAGCGGTCAAGCCGGTGCTATGTAGCGTGAGGTGTAATGCACATAATCATTATCCCTCATGTTTAGGCCAAATTAAACCAAGTCTTCAATTTTCGTGTAATTTTGTTGTTTTAATTCTTTCAAGGGATCACTTATTGCAGACATTTATGATACATTTCGAGTGGAAGAAAGAATGATGATAACTGAGTTGTTTTGGAAAAATTGAGTGATTTTAAAACAATGTGTGAAATGTGAAAAAGCCAATAATAAAATATTACCCCTTAAAAAGAGATGCGGTATTTTTTTGCTATATTTTACGTCGCACTAACACAGTTTATTTTAGCTTACAGCGACTTTCAAGCTTTACTGGCAGAGGGAGACCTGAAGTATTTCAGGCACAAACGGGCATCTAAGAAAATCAACCGTTAGCTGGCTGGATTGCTATCTCTCATGTAGAATCCGACAACGCTTGTGCGCCTCGAGCCTACAGCGGTGAGACAAGTGATTTGAAGTCAACGACTTTAACCACTAGGTCTCGGACGCCAAAAAGTAATAAAGGCTTAATTTTTAAACTGAAAAAAAAAAACAACAACATTGTCATCACATTCAACTGGGCTATTTTTAATTTATCAGTAGATCTATGTATGGCCTCTTTGCTAAGACTAACTTACTCTTGAATCTGCCTCTATACACTGGCCAGGAGAAATCTACTGAAAGCGTCTGCATGTCCCCAATATATTCTGTAACACATTATATTTGGAAATTGCCTCAAGGCATGCAGTGTTATGACTAAAAAAGTCTCATAATAGGACGAGGCTTCAATTTAAAAGAAATTTAGTGGTTTTCATTTAGCTTATGCCAGTTTTTGTTAATATGCTTCTCTATATATAAAAGTCAGCAGGCCATGGTTTCGGCATGGTTTCGGGTTCCTTTCTAGAATTGATATGAACTTGCAGACTCTTAAGATGAAAACGAGATTAGATTGAGTAAAATATGCGTTTTATAAAGATATTTTGGGAATCTGAAAATGAAATTAAGGCAATAAGGGATATGATATGCATTTGGTATAGATATTCTGAACTCTGAAAATTAAAAGGAACCTATATTGAGTACAATACGCATTTGATATAGATTATTTGGACTCTGGAAATGGAAGGGAAGCCTAATTGATAAGATGATAGAGCAAGCATTTAATTAGTTGAAAACTATTGTTTAGACTCGTACCCCTCTTATTCAAGTTTAAATCATCCAATGGAAAAGGCGAGATGTACGGCGTTCCATTGCGGACAGCGCGTTTTATCTGAAAAACGAGTGTGATACGCGATACTATATTTTACAAATAAGTCAAACACAAAATGTATAGATGAGGCCTATTTGTTTAAATACAATTCATGAAGACACAGGCGTACATTTTATCATAAATCTCTTTATTTACATTGATAGATTTTGATTCTGTTAACTTTCGATTTCCATGATAGTTGATCTTTGATAGAATGAAACGCCAGCTCCTTTTAGGTTTACACTCTCACCTTTACGTAGAGAGCAATACGGATTCTAGGTAAAGGTTTCAGTGCGATGTTGACAATACGACACCATCGTACAGTTGTGCTTCGCCATCGTACTGTCGTATTGTCACAATCGAACTGTCGTACTGTCACCATCGCACTGTCGTACTGTCACCATCATATTGTCGAACTGTGTCGTACTGTCACCATCGTACTGTCGCCTTTCCCTGTCGCACTGTCACCATCCTAATGTCATGATTCGCGCTTTTCGTTTTCAGAGAAAACGCGCTGGCCCTAACGGAACACCGTAGAGATGCCATGCATTGGTATTCTAGCCGAAGTATATTTGGATATCAATTTGTAGCAGAGATTAGTTTTGCATTTTAACATGAAAACTACTAATAACTAACTGGCGAGTTTTGCCTAATGTGTGCGATCGTGACATATTAACAAAAAAGGAAAAGTACTTTGCATACTTCCAGCATAAAACATCATTTTTTCATTTATATAATCACTTAATGACCTAATACTAAAACTTTGAAATTAATGTTGAGGTATTAACGTAATTATTTTCAGTATGAACGTTTTAAATCACTTTATTTTCTGATGCAAAAAAATATTTGTTTAGTATCTCTTAAATCACCTTGAGGTGAAACTTACTAACTTGCATATCAATTTTTCATATTGTTTATACATACATGTATATAAGACAGGGGCAGGTTTTGGTTATGTTTTGAATAATGCTTTATAACCAAAACATGACTGCTTTTTGTATTATTTAATAATAGTTTGAAATTCAATCGAAATATAGGTATTACTACATGTATGAAACATTTTGAATGATTTATTAATACCATTCTGATAGAAAGGTGCACGCTAATTAACCCTCGAAATATGAATACAAATAAGTTTGATTACTGCCCGCAACTGAAACTTTGATAAATTATGTTTATTTCCCGTAGTTTGCATTATTTGTATGTACATTGTATTCTCAAATTTTAATAAATACTGCAATAACCGCACATGACTAGAAAATGCAAACGGAAAGTAAACGTTCAAACAATCGAATAAGATCCGGTCACAGTATATTTTGAAACATTTTCTTTCTTTTATCTCTGCGCTCACGATAAACACTGTCCTCTTTGATTTTTTTTAAGTTACGGTTGTCTGTCATCTTCAATCAGCCTTTTATCTTACGGCTACGATACTTCTTCTTTTTCAAAACTGTAGTTCCAATTTAAAATTGTTGAAGTGCTTTTAAGTACAATTAATTAAACGAGTTGAATGACAGTCGTTATCTGCAAACATGATAAACACGCCAAATTTAGGTGAACAGTTTGCAAGGTTAAGATTTGTTCCGTTCGTTATCTTTCTGTTTGGTATGTTGTTTTGGTACAATGTGATTCAATAAAGTACTTTAGTGTCATTTCTGTAAGCCTGAAGGTTTACTTTACCAACGCGGATTATTTGCATAATCTTGATAGATTACAGAAAAGAAAATATCAAAAAAGTTTATGACTATGCTATTAATCTCGCTGTCGTTCCCGTTCTGTTAAAATTCGGTTATTTAAGTACATTTCATTTCAGACTGGAAATTTATAACTCCTAAATAATCATCTATTGTCTTGCAACTTGATTAACGTTCTTGTAAATTTGTTTGTGTCACAGTTAAAATGCATGCAAAACAAGATAGAAAAAAACAAAACTTTCATTTAATTTGGTAAAATTTGCTGATGGCAGTGCTAATTTGTTTGCACATACAATCTGAAAAATTAATAGGAATCGTGCATTTATGATCAAATAAGAGGACAATAATCCCATCCTTTTTATGGTTAAAAAATAAAATTGAAAATTAAAACAATTTTAAAATTGTTTGTAAAGGACATTAAATTGAGTTAAAATCATGTTAAAAATTTGAGAATGAGTATAGATAATTCATTATAAGATTTACATTCTTGTGCCAGAATGAAATTGTTTCATAAGATTTAAATGACTTTTTTTGTTTAGGAGTATGATGACTGGGACATTAGGGCCCATTTTAAGAGTAATGATAGTGATAAAAGATCTCGTTATTTAGTTGTCTGCTCGTGGATTTGATTCTATTCTAAAAAGAAAACATTTAAAGGGTAGATAATTCACAAGAAAGTGAACATCTTATCATACTTTTTTTTCATGTAACAAACAAACAAACGCATTTTCTTTTAAAA